CATTTTGGTGGTCCTGAAAAGGACCGATTTGTTTTATAGGACGACAGGCGTCTAAGCGCGTTCTCCTCGAATACGCCGAGCTAGTTGAATATCCTTGGGCATGATGGTTACGCGCTTGGCGTGGATCGCGCACAAGTTTGTATCTTCGAACAGGCCAACCAAATAGGCCTCGCTAGCTTCCTGCAATGCCATGACGGCGGAGCTCTGAAAACGCAGATCGGTCTTGAAGTCCTGAGCGATCTCGCGCACTAGACGTTGGAACGGCAACTTTCGTATGAGAAGCTCGGTGCTCTTCTGGTAACGACGGATCTCACGCAGAGCTACGGTGCCAGGCCGATAACGATGCGGCTTCTTCACACCGCCGGTCGCCGGCGCGCTCTTGCGAGCCGCTTTCGTTGCAAGCTGCTTACGGGGCGCCCTTGCCACCGGTGGACTTGCGAGCTGTCTGCTTCGTACGGGCCATTATAACTCCTAGATTTCGTTTCGAGAACCTTCTCGTTTGACGATCGTTTTGATACTGACGCGTCCGGCTCGAATATTATGATCAAAATACATTACGAATGTCCGATGCTGTGCTCGGCTGTCATTGGTCGGCGCCGAATGCTCGCATAGCTATGATGGGCGTGGCCTAGCGAGCTCAAACTTTTCAATAATTTCGCTCGTCGGAATTCAGTCGTTATTCAGACTTCGAGCTGTTAACATCAATTTGTAAATTTATCCCGACTGCGATATATTGAAAAATGACCGGCCGTGGCAAAGGTGGTAAGGGACTCGGAAAGGGTGGCGCTAAGCGACACAGGAAAGTTCTTCGCGATAATATCCAAGTATTACAAAGCCGGCTATACGTCGTCTTGCTCGCCGTGGCGGCGTCAAGCGTATCTCGGGTCTAATCTACGAAGAGACCCGCGGTGTTCTGAAAGTGTTTCTCGAGAACGTTATCCGCGATGCAGTCACATACACCGAGCACGCCAAGAGGAAGACCGTAACCGCTATGGATGTCGTATATGCGCTCAAACGTCAGGGTCGTACACTGTACGGTTTCGGCGGTTAAATTGATCAACGGACGCAGTCATTCTTATAAATACAAAACAAAAAGAGCCCTTTTAAGGGCTGTCAAATATAATTAAAAGAACAAGTAATATATTTTACAATTTACGTACAGGCTTTATTTGATTTTATATGAAATTTGTTTATTTTCTTGCAGAATAACTTGCTTTGGTAATATTATTGATAATATTATCAAATTGGAAAGCCCTTCGAATATGTTTTAAAGAAAGTATTTAATTATATTTTTTACTATTTTTTCGTATTGACTTTTTATATGCAATTGATTTCTTTTCTTACATGGGGGGGCTTCAATTAATAGAAAATAGAGTATACTTTTAGTATTAGTATACTTTACAGTTAAGGGCTTCGAAAAGGGCTCTGAATTGAAGGAGCTCAATTAAATGAATGAATTTATTAAATTTTGCATATTATTTAAATTTATATAATATGTAATAATATTTTATATATTTAATAATAAAATTTTTAAAATATTACGACAATAATTTTATTTTTACGAAAATATTTAAATTGCGATTTTTTTTAATATAAATATATTTTATAATAAATTAAAATAAACTTAAACTTATTAACTAAATTTGAAAAACTAAAGTTTTAAATTGAATTGAATATTCAATCATTAATTTTTATCATATTGAAATATATAGAAATTGAACATTATTTATAATATAAATTAATAATAACGATCTCTAATAGAAATCTGATCAAAATTTATTGAAAATCCTAATAAAATATCATTAGTGTCAGGTTATTTTATTTTATCTATAAAACCAATGTAAAAATTTAAAGTTCTTTTGTAAAATATTTGTGGGCCCTGAGAAGGGCCTTTGTTATTGTCGACAGAACATATAAGTGGCATCACAAAATCTTCATCATTTTATTTCGAGCTGGTGTACTTGGTTACGGCCTTAGTACCTTCGCTGACGGCGTGTTTGGCCAACTCGCCTGGTAGCAATAGCCGGACTGCTGTCTGAATTTCCCGACTAGTGATTGTAGAGCGTTTGTTGTAGTGAGCCAACGCGATGCCTCGGCCGCTATACGCTCGAAGATATCATTCACAAAGCTGTTCATGATGCTCATCGCCTTGCTCGAAATGCCCGTGTCAGGATGGACTTGTTTCAAGACTTTGTAAATATAAATGGCATAGCTCTCCTTGCGCTTACGTTTCTTCTTCTTGTCGCCCTTTGAAATATTTTTCTGGGCTTTGCCTGCTTTCTTAGCCGCTTTACCGCTGGTTTTCGGTGGCATGTCTAGATGTTTACTAGTACCTGACTGATACGAAATAGTGATGGGCGTTGAATCAACGAACGGTTTTTTTCAACCGTTTCTCCTTCGTTAACGAATCAACCGTTTCGACGCAACGAAACAACTAGTTGAAAAATCAACTGGTTTGTCAATGAGTTAAAAACATGGCGCCCAGTTACTTTTCAACGAAATGCATATTCGTTCGTTGTCGAATATTACAATTGAAAAGCAATAGAGTACTCTAGGGGTTCTTTCTTAAACTTATAATTATTAGGTTCGAATGTATGATATCAACAACCAACTCTTTATCTAGGATATAACTCTTATACAGTGTTGTCATGTCTAAAGTTTTAACTGTAGATCTACAGTTTTTTGGTAATGATCTCAGTTTTGCAGTTTTGGCCTCGAAATCTACAGTAAAGAAATTGAAAATAAATTTGAAAATCATTCTAGTATTTTTTTATGAACTTATCTTTTGTAGGTTGAGATTTATGTTAATAATTCATTTCATATATAAAATTATTTATAGTAATAAATATTTATTTATTTAACTATCAGCTAGCTTTACATTGATTCGAAATTACCTTCAATAATTAAAACATGACATGATAAATATTACTTATATTGAAATTAATAAAATTAATAAAATAAACAATCTATCGATAAACATTTTGGAATGGTGTTTAGGATAACTATAATAAAACTGTTTGTTTAAATATCAATTGAATATTTTCTAAACATATTTTTTTTAAAGAAAGCCTTCAATGCTAAATTATGCAGATCGCCGGGATTACTTGAAAAATCCTATATCTGGCGCCGTTGACAATTATAGTATTATAATCGCTTATTATTGTTAGGTAAAATAAAATAAACTTTTCAGGATGATTGTAATAAAACTGTTTGTTTGAAATATCAATTGAATATATCCTAAACATATTTTTTTCAAAGAAAACCTTCAATGCTAAATTATGCAGATCGCCGGGATTACTTGGAAAATCCTATATCCGGCGCCATTGACAATTACTATAGTATTATAATCATAGATAAACAAGTATAAATGATATAATCGCTTATTGTTAGGTAAAATATAATAAAACTTTTCAGGATGATTGTAATAAAACTGTTTGTTTGAAATATCAATTGAATATATCTTAAACATATTTTTTTTAAAGAAAACCTTCAATGCTAAATTATGCAGATCGCCGGGATTACTTGGAAAATCCTATACCTGGCGCCATTGACATTACTAGTATTAAATCGCTTATTGTTAGGTAAAATAAAATAAAACTTTTCAGGATGATTGTAATAAAACTGTTTGTTTGAAATATCAATTGAATATTTCCTAAACACATTTTTTTAAAGAAAACCTTCAATGCTAAATTATGCAGATCGCCGGGATTACTTGGTCGTCATCTGCATTTATTTCGCACCTCAAACTCATGTGCAAAATACATTATAGTAACATAACATATTTTAACTTCCCGTAGGGTAAGTTATTGTAATGTGCCGAAAATCGAAATTGAAAATTTTTACATTTCTCGACGTTTTGAAGGTTTCTGAACATTTTGGCATACATCAGAAAAAATGGATGTGTGTGTGTATGTATGTATGGATACAAATTTCCAGTCACGTTTTCGGGCACACGAATCAACCGATTTGAATCGTTCAAAAAATATTCGATTTCTATTGATAGGGAGATGAGCTGATTAGTTTTTGGCAAAGGCAGGTCCAGCAGTTACGAAGATAAAGAGCAAAGAGTGCAGAAAACTAAAATCGAGTTTTTGAGAAAACGGAGCATCCGATTTGAATTATCTAAAAAACATTCAGTTAATAATGATTGGGAGAAGTGTTTATTAGTTTTTGGTAAAGGCAGGCCAAGCTATTTCGAAGATACGGAGCTAAATGTATAAAAATGGCAGTTTTTTGAGAGAACTAAGCGTCCGATTTAAATGATTCAAAGAACTTCCTGTTTATCCTAACAAAATAATTGATTTTGAAAAATTGTATATATAGAAAATAATTCAGATTTCAATTTCAATTCTAGCTAGAGTTTTAAAGCTCACTTATATACTTTAAATGAATTGACTATGTGATTCAGTTTATATAATTCTTATAAATATTGGACAATGTTACAGTATTTATAATAATCTATTTGAAAACATTTAATATTCCTCGAACATTTTGTTACGGCACCATAGCCTGGCACGCGTGCCATGGGTTGCCGATGCCTGGTCTGCAGCATGCCTTGAAATAAGTCCAAGAAATCATCCCCCTCAGATGTATAAATTAATGTAACCCGCCCCTTACGGGCGGGGCTAATATTGTTAATTTTAATTTTTAATAATTTTTATTTAGTATAAGTTCAGAACTCATCCCGATTACTTTTATCTTAATTACGCGCTTGCCAATTTTTTAAAATTGAAAGATACGTTATTCAGTAAAAATTTGAGTTAAAATTTTGTGCTTTTTAAATAAAATTGTTATACCATTATCTATCATTATATCATTAGTATTTAAAATAGTTTTTTAATAATAATTTATTTTAGATTTTATCAAATATATTTTAATTAGTTTTAAATTTAGTAAATAACATAGTTTAATAATTTTATATATTTTATATTATCGATTAGTTTTACAATAAGTTTAAATTTTAAGAAATATTGTTTTTTTTCAAATTCTTTTTTAAAAAAATGGCATCTCGTAGAAATACTAGTGTATTGTGGTACCATTTTGAAAAAATTGATAGTATGAAAGCAAAGTGTAATGTGTGCAACCAGCAGATAAAGTATAGTTCAACAACCGCCAATTTAAAGAGCCATTTAAAAAGAAAGCATATTTCCATATATGCTTCGTTGCAAGAAACTGAGGCAGGAAGTTCACAGCAGACTCGTATTTCACAGTATATAAGTAATTCCGGAGAGGCTATACCAAGTTCTAGTAGTGCTCAACAACAACCTACAAGTGTGCGTCAGAGGGTATTGGAGACTTTTATGACTAAAAAAATTAGCAGCGAACAAAAAAAAATGATTGACCAAGATTTGATGGATATGTTCATTGATAGTTTCCATGCATTTTCATTAGTTGAAGAAAGAGCGTTTAAAAAGTTGATGCGGTGGATACCAGGATATGTTCTTCCATCTAGAAAGACTGTTTCAGGATCCATGCTCGAGGAGCAATACAACAAGGCAGTTGAAAATACAAGAGCAGAAGTTTTAGCTGAAGCACAAACTATTTGCATAACATTAGATGTTTGGACTTCTAGGGTTACTGAAGCATATGTGGCAGTTACAGGCCACTATATTACAGACAATTATAACTTAAAAACTGTTCTTCTCGGATGCTGTCAATTTGAAGGAGCGCATACATCAGAAAATCTAGCAATAGAAATTCAAACAATCCTTGACAATTGGAAATTGCATGCCAATAACATGAAAAAAGCCATTAAAGACATTTTAAAAATAAAACATTATGGATGTTTTGCACACACTATTAATTTAATAGTAAATGATGGCCTCAAGTTGATTAAGAGTGAGATCGATATAATAAAGAAAATTGTTGGCCACTTCCGGAGGAGTGTCACTGCATGTGAAAAACTGCAGAAATACCAAATGCAGCAATATGGACACACAAAAAAATTGATTCAAGATGTCGAAACAAGGTGGAACTCCACCTTTTACATGGTGAAACGATTTGTCGAGGTTGAAGAGTCAATAAGGATGACAATGAGTGTTTTAGATGCAAATCTACCATCATTGACTTCTGAAATGTGGAAAATGTTGCCACAACTATGCTTAATTTTAAAACCATTCGAAGATATTACCACCACTGTAAGTGGTGAAAATTACCTGACAGGAAGCCTGGTAATAGTGTTAGTAAGATGTTTGAATGAGTCATGCAACAAATTATTGGCACGAAATGACCTGTTGCCAATAATTAGAAGAATCACTGAAATTTTTAAATCAGGAATTAATGACAGATTTCCAAATGTCGAGAGGAGCAAGACATTTGGAATCTGTACATTATTAGATCCTAGGTTCAAAATGAAGGGTTTCTCAAACATAGAAGATGCAAAAATTATTAAAGAAGATCTTAAGCAAAAAGTAGCAAAAATCATTGAAGAACGAAGACTTTTAGAGAATGTTGTTCCCATGCCATCAACGTCCATGGAAGATATTGATGAGTATAACCCATGGACTATTTTAAATAACCTAGTAGGAGCATCACTGCATCAATCGACTCCACTATGTGCTGCTATAAAGGAAATTGATATATATCTCGCTGATGATAGCTTGCCTATGAAATCTGCAGAAGGTATATTAAATTGCCCAATGCAATGGTGGAGAAATCACCAGCATGTTTATCCAAATTTGGCGAGATTGTTTAAAAATCAGTGCAATGTTGTAGCTACCTCCGTTCCTTGTGAAAGGATCTTTTCAAAAGCAGGCATGGTTATTACGGATAGAAGATCGAGACTACAAAATACAAAAGTCGAAAAATTAATGTATTTAAATGTAAATTTAGATCAAAATCGATTTGATAAAATTTAAAATTGTTAAAATTTTAGTTTTGTTATGTAACAAATTATATAATCTATTTGAAATTTATAATTATAGTTAAAATGTATAATATATGTAAATATTTGAATAAAATGTACTTATAAAAATGATTTGTTTAATTTATAAGATTTCATAAAAACTTATATTTAAGTTAATCTTCGTTTGATTTTTCAGGCTATATGGAATATCATGTCATATAAAAATCTTCTTAGTTAACAAGGTCATAAATAGATAGATGAATACTAACTTTCAAATGTTTTGTTACTAATATGTTTCGTTATATCCATAACATTTTTAATTTGAAATTACTTGAAGTCATTTTTTAAACCTAACCTGAAAATAAATTATTGAGTTATATATAAATTATTTGTTTATTATGTGAAACATTGCTATTTTAATTATAAATTCGTTGTTTCAGTATACTATATCCTTTGCTTTAAAATTAAAAATAAACAATATGATGGGATACACAGTTCAACTTCTAAACCTTGTTATTGATCAAATGATTTGACATTTAACTGGGACGAACATAGATAAGGAACAAACTTCATTAACTTTCAACGAAACAGTATTTTCAACTCATAGTTATTAACGTTGCCAGCGTTGAATCGTTAAAATCAACTATAGTTGAAAATTAACTAGTTTTTCAACTAGTTGACGAGAACCCGTTAACCGTTTCGTTTCGTTGACGGAAAAAACGTCAACGACCCATCACTATTATATTTACAAATGTGTCTCACCAGTGTACGAAAGCGCGCTTTGCATACATTAAATCGAACTTATGATTAAGCCTGGCCCACGCCTCGGCAATTGCAGTCGTGTTGGACAACATGCAAACGGCTCTTTGAACTTTGGCTAAATCGCCGCCTGGCACTACGGTCGGTGGCTGGTAATTTATTCCAACCTGCACCAATTATTAAATCAATATCAGTCCCACCATGTGTAAATATTAAATCACTATCACTTTGTGCAGATGATTTAAAATACAGTTATGAGTGAATTACGGGGCTTTCCCGTAAGTTAATGATTAGAATTATGCTAATTATTATGCACATTAAAGTCTATCAATAATCATTGATCAGTTTTTATTATTTGTTGATTGAATGGATATTTTATTCCTCGAATGTTTTTTCCGCCACGTGAAGTTCCAGAAATTTGCCTCAAGGCACAATGTCATGCACCCCAAATTATTAACTTCCCGTAGGGTAAGTTATAGTAATCGTCCAAAAATCAAAAATGAAAATTTTTATATATCTTCACGTTTCAAAGGTTTCTGAACATTTTGGCATACCTCAGAAAAAATGGATGTGTGTGTGTATGTGTGGATAATTTTTTGTCCACGTTTTCGGGCGCACGGATCAACCGATTTGAAGGGTTCAAAAAGCGTTTGATTCCTACTAATAGGGAGATGTGCTGATTAGTTTTTGGCAACGGCAGGTTCAGCCGTTACGGAGATACGGAGCAAAGAGTGCAGAAAATACAAATCGAGTTTTTGAGAGAACGGAGTATCGGATTTGATGATCTAAAAAACATTCAATTTGTAATGATGGGAGAAGGGTGATTAGTTTTTGGCTAAGACAGGTCTAGCCGTTTCGGAGATACAGAGCTAAATGTGCTAATTTAATTGATAAATTACCTAAGCACTTGTTACTTCAGTTATGAGATACTAGAAATATGTGTGATTACAAAATTTAGTATATAAATTATTGCATTTGGAAAGCTATAATTTGGATATGTGATGCCTAAAACTATGTACTAAATTTAAAAAATATTAAACACATTTATGTTAGTACTAAATTAAAAGTTATTAATTATTTAATTAAAAAACTAACTAAGCACATTAGTTACTTCAGTTGTGAGACTTCAAATATGTGTGATTCAATTTTTTTTCTCAATTTTTTTCTCAAAAAAGTTTTTTTTGTATATCGAAAATAATTCAGATTTTAATTGTAATTCTGACTTAGTTCTAATATACTTTAAACAAATATTTTCAACTTTGCAATTCAGTTTATATAATTCTTATTAATATTGGACAATGTTACAATATTTATAATATAATTTATTTGAAAACATTCAATATTCCTCGAACATTTCGTTAAGGTACGGGAAGTTCCAGCAATTTGCCTTAAGGCACGATGCCATACACCACTAGTTTCAAGTTAGATTCAACAGTTTTTTTTATAACCGCTAGAAAAGCTTTCATGTGGTTGGGTTAAAAAAGACCAACAGACCTTTACACTGACGTAGAGGTAAACATTGAGAATAAAAAAATACAAAAGATAAATTAATAACTAGTGGTGCATGGCATCGTGCCTTAAGGCAAATTGCTGTAACTATCCGTACCAAAAATAAAGTTTTTAAAAAAGATTCAATTTTTTATAGAAAAAATTTACCTTTTTGATAAATTTTATTTTTTTATACTTTTTTTAAAGCAATCACTATACTTTATAGCTGCGTTAGAAACGAAATATCAAAGCGCGTGGGCGCCGCGTTGCTGTATAACGGACAAACATTGGTACGTAACCCATTGAAATACAAACAAAATTTATTCTTATCATTAAATATGTATAACATATGTGATAATTAGATGTGCATATGTATAATGATAATTTTTGTCCGCCAAATGGCATTTTTTTACTTATTTTTTTGGATTTCCGAAACAGCTAGACCTGACTTTCCTAAAATTTTATCAGTTCAAATAAAATGTTTTTTGAAATAATCAAATCGGACGCTCTGCTCTCTCAAAAATTGAATTATCATTTTTGGCACTTTTGCACCGTATCTTCCAAACGGCTGAATCTGTCTTTGCCAAAACTAATCAGCACATCTCCTTATAAATAGGAACCGAATGTTTTTTGAATTATTTAAATTGATTGATCCGTGTTCTCAAAACCGTCGACAAAAAATTATATCCGCACATACGTTCACACAAACGCACACACACTTTTCTAAAAGATATGTCAAAAGATATGTCTTTAAGATATGTCAAAATGTTTAGAATCTTCTACGGGAAGTTAATTAATAGTTATTTCAACTCGTTATTTTGTGAAAAAATAGTGTAATCTTTGTGAAAAACGTGCCCATGAAAATTGTATGTTTCATTGGTTAAATAATGGAGCTGTTATTTTATAAATTCCTCTTAAAATTAAAAATAAAACATAGGATCCATTATCTACCAGGCTGTGACTTTAACCCTGCCTAAGGGATAAAAAGGAACAAATTGCTAATTTTAAAAGAATAGCAAAAACATATTTTTTGCTGTGGTACATACACATAACATACATAACCCTTGGATCCTTAGTACATACCAAAAATTAATTTTATTTGTGATCATATTCGTTATTAAGCTTTCCATAAGTTAGTTGGATTAAATAGTGCTTCTTACCTTAAATCCAGTGGGACACCAATCCACAAATTGTATACTTCTCTTGGTTTTGATGGTGGCAATCGCCGAATTAACGTCTTTCGGAACCACATCGCCGCGGTAAAGAAGACAGCACGCCATATATTTTCCATGACGGGGATCGCACTTCACTAGTTGATTAGCTGGTTCGAAACATGCGTTCGTTATTTCGGCTACGCAAAGCTGCTCATGATACGCCTTTTCCGCGGAAATAACCGGAGCATAAGTCACCAGCGGAAAATGAATACGCGGATACGGCACCAAATTTGTTTGAAACTCAGTCAAATCAACATTCAAGGCCCCATCAAATCTGTAATTGGAAATATAGTTATTATTTTTCATTAAAAAGTTTTCATTAAAATTTCTGAATTATAGACGAGGATGTAAATTAAAGCTTAAAGATTATGGGGGTCATGTTTACTTATCTACGATGGGGCTTATGACTATCAATATACTAGTACCAAACCTGACTTTTCACGAATTTGTAAATGAATACAAAATACAAAAAAGTTATAATGGCAAAACAAGTCAATAATTTCTTGTTTAATAATATACTATAATGCTTAAAAGTCATAATAGTACATGTATTTGTTTTTTAAACAAATGCAAATAAACGTAAAGATGGTTTACTACTCCCGAGAACGCAAAAGAATTTTCAAATACGAATAAATTCAGTTATTGATCCTATTTTACTAATTACAAATACGAAATACGAATCGACAAAAAAAAATCATCGTGTTAGTAAGAAAGATAGTATATATATATATATATATATATATATATATATATATATATATATTTACTCTTTATTTTGATACGATTTGATATGATTTAATTTGGGAATCAATGTCTCTTAGCTCTATCAATTGATTTATTAGAAACAAAGGCCCCAATCTGGTATTTAAATAATTTATACGCTATTTAAAAATCTTTTTGAAACAATCCGATATACCAATTTTCAACTTTGTACCTCATCTTATAGCTGAGATATCACTGAAAATATGCCAAAGTGGCCCCTTTTTTAACTTCCCGTAGGGCAAATTATAGTAATCGCAAAAAAATCGAAAATAAATTTTTTGTATATTTTTACGTTTCAAAGGTTTCTGAATATTTTGGCATACCTAAGAAAAAATGGATGTATGTGTGTGTCTTCTTTTAACTTCCCGTAGGGCAAGTTATAGTAATCGCGAAAAAATCGAAAATAAAAAAATTTTATATATCTTTGCGTTTCAAAGGATTCTGAACATTTTGGCATACCTAAGAAAAAATGGATGTATGTGTATGTGTATGTGTATGTGTGTGTGTGTGTGCGCGCGGATACTTTTCGTCGACGATTTCGGAACGGATCAACCGATTTGAATAATTGAAAAAACATTCGATTCATATTGATGCGGAGATGTGCTGATTAGTTTTTGGCGAAGGCAGGTCTACCCGTTCCGAAGATACGGGGCAAAAAGAGCCAAAAATGGTAACTCAGCTTTTAAGAGAACGGACTGTCCAATTTAATAATTCAAAAAACATTTTACTTGTATTGACAAGATGAAGAACTGATTAAATTTTTGCGAAGGCAGGTCCAGCGGTTATGGACTCTCAATAAAAATAGGTTGAAAAAGTGTCATTTGGCAGTCAAAAATGTTTATAGGACATTGGACTTATGCACAACAAATTATGAAATATTTTATAGAGATTTTCATAATGTGTACACATTTTGTGTAATTTTTTTTGGGTTCCATACCAAGATTTTTAATTACGGTACGGGAAGTTCCAGCAATTTGCCTGAAGGCACGATGCCATGCACCCCACTAGTTAAACTCACTTTTTGGCGTAATCATAAGAGATATAAAAAAATTACATGGTTCTACTCACATGGCTTAGACCATATTATGTAAAATCATCGATGCCAAATAATCATTTATTATTAGCTAAAAAGATAAAATAATTTTTGATTGATGTTTCCGGATAGTGCGTTTAGTTGGACCACTTCCTAATTTAGCGTTATTGGAAAGCCTATTGTTTTTTCTTCTAGTACGCAAATATTGTACAAATCAATTTGTCGAACACATTGGAGAATTAACAAAACCTGAGCCAGTACACTCGCAATGCGCCCGACACGATTCTTAAGAAATTCTGAATGTTAAAATATTTATTATATAGTTATATAATATGTATATATACACACAATTCTAAGTTTCACTTGTTCTTGAGATACTGGTGCTGGGTCGTCTTACCCGCGGACCTTTAAGCCCTGCTCTACCCTATTTCAAAATCTCTAAATAATTTTACCATTTTCAAAACGCTGTAAATATTCTAAAGAAATCAATTGTTTGATTAAAACACTATTCTAAATATTATTTTAGATATTCTCATATGGAATTCAATTTTGTGCTATTGAATATTCTGTAAGAAATATTCTTAAACTTATAATAATATTGAATAACTAAAAGGACTATGTTTAA